TCTCATACTTTGGACATATTGTCAGGAGGGAACAGTCTCTGGAGAAGGATATCATGCTGGGTAAGATGGAGGGTCGGAGAAAAAGAGGAAGACCCCCAACAAGATGGATCGGCTAGGTGGCATCATTGATGGACTCACGTGTGGCAGCGGTAGTGAGGTTGGCCCAGGATTGGACATTATATCGTTCTGCTGTGCATGGGGTCACTATGAGTTGGTTCTGACTCCAGTAAATATTTTAAGTCCACCATTAACTAATCCTTTTTCTTTTCTTTATATTGAAACCTGTTTCTTTTTCTTTGTTAGCTAGCTTATCAGCAAATATTTCTGCAATTCTTCATTAAAATGAGTGCACAAGAGATACTCATGTGGCACTGGTCACATTTTTCAAAGATTCAGAAAAACACTGAGAAAATGGCAGCAACACTTCTAGAATTTATTTTCTTTGATACCATGTAAAATTTGATAGTTTACTCTTAGAATGGATTCTGTTAAAAGAATCAACAGTGCCTTTTTATTAAGAATGATTTTTCATTAGAGTGTTATCCTTTTGAATTAATTTCTTTTTGTCTCTTACCTCATGTGTGTGTGTGTGTTGTCTATGAAGGTAATTGTTCTTGTTAAGTGCTGTCCAGTCGGTTCTGACTCATAGCGACCCTGTATAGGGTTTCCAAGAAGTGGCTGGTGAGTTTAAACTGCCAACCTTGTAGTTCAAACTGACCTTGTTGTCCAGTGCTTTAACCCACAGCACCATACCACCACACCATGAAGTTGTTATTTTTGTTGTTATGAGCCGTGGAGTTGGTTCCAACTGATAGTGACCCTGTGTAGGGTTTCTGAGGCTGTAAGTCTCTACAGGAGCAGAAAGCCTCATGTTTCTCCCACGGAACAGCTGGTAGTTTCGAACTGCTGTTTTTATATTCTAAGAACTTTTACTATACCTGAGGTGAGGTTCATAGCCAGATTCGTAACCACTACACTATCAGAGATCCTTATGAAGTTAATTAGGATATAATAATCGAATTACAGTTCTTTCTTCAGGCAGAAACCATACTGTAAAATGTAAGTAATTCTTACCAAGTAGTAGTCCAGGAAAAGAAAAACATGTGTAGTAAGAAACAGCTAGTCTTTAGAAAATAGATAGCAGGTAATATTAGGAGAGTTTAAGCCAATTTTGTTTTTAAAACATGTGCAGTGAATATTTGTGACTGTGCATTTTTTTTTTTTAAGTATAATATTGAATATTCCAGCTCTATATTTTCTTGTCGCCATAAAATTTTCTTTCATTAACCCTTTGTTTTGTCTATTAGTTATTTGTTTTGCATGCTTCCTTACTTTTTTAGTTTTCCTGATGAAAAGACCAGTCCCCTTTTCTCTTTAAGTATGTATGATGGTAGTTATATGCCATGGAGTCAGTTCCAACTCATAGTGACTTGTATAGGGTTTACGAGGCTGTAAATCTTTATGGGAGTAGAAAGCCTCATCTTTCTTTCACACAAAACCTGATAGTTTCAAACTGCTGACCTTGAGGTTAGCTGCTCAACTTGTAACCATTATGCTATCAAGGTGTAGATCCTCAAGTAGACAGAAGTTAGTGATGTATAGCATCAATGCATTTTCAATCCATTTCTGTATTTACTCGTGTTATGAACAAAAACAAATTGCCACCATCTTTAATGTTTCAGGTGTTTTTGATTCTTTTTGGAAAGCTTATAGAAGAAATAAGGAGATTTCTCTAGTTATCATTCTGAAGTAGCTTATAAATATTGTTTGAATTCCTGTTCTGAACCTGTTTATTTTCACTTTTTTTTTTTTTTGTAAACTAGTATTTTTTTTAACTTTTTTTTTTGTAAATGTTGTTAAGAAATAGATAATAGCAAGTATGGGTGTGAATGACCTGTGGCAAATTTTGGAGCCTGTTAAGCAACATACCCACTTACATAGTCTTAGTGGAAAAACCATTGCAGTTGATCT